TTTATTTTTACAATAATTATTTGTTGCCTTCACTTCATATAAATGTCTGTTTCAAAGAAGAATTAAAAATAAAGATGTGCAGGCATATGTTCTAGCAGGTAAGATGCCAGTTACCGCATCCTGGAGCCACACTACCTGGGTTTGAGTCTCAGCTTCAGGTTCTGTCTCCAGCTTCTTGCAGATGCCCATCCTGAGAGGCCAAAGTGACAGTTCCCACCCACGTTAGAGAACTGCACTGAGCTCCTCTCTTCTGGCCTTGGCCAGCCCAGGTTCCACTGTGGCAGGTGACTAGCAGATGGGAGCTATCTCTCTCCGTGTCCTCTCGCCTACCCCATATTCAAACTCCCTCACTTGGTACTTCTCAAATAGATATACATGTATACATATACACACATAAGGTGTAAACCCTCAGGAGCTAACCCTAATATAAAAATGTATGGACTTTGGGCGGTTATAGGCAAGATGTTAAGTTCAATAATTTTAACAAATATATCACCCGGGTAGGGGGTAGTGACAGCTGGGGAGGGCTACCGATGTGCAGGTGAAGGGACTAAATGGAAACTTGGGCTTTTATTCTTAAATTTGCTGTGAAACTAAAACTGCTCTAAAAAACCCTAAAGTCTTAAAACTAAGAGGAAATATTTAAATACAGCAATAATTATGTCTTAGATGTGTACCTAATTTACAGTTGAAATTGACTGAGAACATCTCTTTATAACTAAAAAAAAAAAAGAGTATGGAGTTTGGAAGATGTCTTCCATAAGGGAAGTAACCAATATCTATATCTTGAGGGCTACAGTAAAGCCATAACATTTGACTGAAATCCCTTATATAAATGTGATTTTATGATTAAACAGCTTTAGAACATTTGGTTTGGGATTCTTTTGGAATAGTCACCTGTACAAAATATATTAAAAATACATTAAATTACAAACTATTTTTAAAATATTAAAACATGTAACTCATGGTACAGCTGAATTGCCAACAGGTCATGATTATTCTTCAATTTTCAACTGGCATTTTAAATATCCCTGGTGATAATAATCACACATATTCCACATATGAAAATTGGGATCATGCTAAACTATGATACAAGTAAATATGGCTAATTAATGTGCAATGAAGTATTATGGTAAATCCTTAAATATGAACATAGAGAAAGTAATTGTTTTCATAACTGAAAAGTTCAGACATGTAGTTGAACTGATACGCTCCTTAACATTTTCATATTTTTAACTAATCCAAATGTTTTCATTTCACAATGCTAATGACACTTTAAATTTATCTCAATGACAATACTTATTTGTTTTCCATTACTCCTTGGGACATATTCTAAATAAAATGATAAAAACCAAAACTCAAATAAGAGTCTAAAAAGAAAATACTTAAAGTACTTAAGTCTATTGACTAATAGTTTAACTGTGGCCATTTTTAATCTTTCAGAATTATTAAATAAGTGAAACACATCATTGTGATGGCAGAGAATTCTACAGATAAAAATTCAATATGTGGACTTATTATACTAGTAATCTGAGGGTAGTGGGAAAAGGATTCTGTACTGCCACAAAGTAAAATTCAATCATCTACTCTATCCTCTTAGGTGAAATCATGCTAAGGACTTCTGGCATAGAAGACTACATATCGGAAAATGTACATGACAAGAAATATCAACAGGTTGTTGCTGTCCTTGCCCAAAAATGATCTAGTATCTAGTTTACCATGCATTTTCTATAAAGTCCTGTCGGGTGGTTCCTACACACACTATTTATAAAACTTCCTGTGACTTTCTCTAGGCAGTTTAAATACATTTTAAAAAAACATAATCAGGGCTACAGTTGTTTATAATTACTAACTTTAGAAAACACATAGAAGTATTAATAATTGGTGAAATCAGCTTAATAGGAAACTAAATTTACAAATATGTATTAACTATTTATACTCTTACTTCAACTGAGACACATTTCTTTGTTTTGCACTAGATTCTTAAGTAAGAATATTCCTGAAAATTTAATCTATTTTACAAACCAAGTCACCATCAATACTTTCAGAGTACAGTCAAATATTTTAAGGAGCACCTCAAAAACAGTGAAATTTAACAAAATCCACAAATGTGATATTCATGTTTTGGCTAACTTGTAAAAGTTATCCATTATTGAATTCAATATTTCATAATTAACTAGAATCAAAATACATGTTTTTCCTCCTAATCATAAAATATATGATCATGTATAATACAGATTAACTTCAGAAAACTCAAGGAGGATCATTTTAAACCAGCAATGGCCACACACCATCCTCAAACAGGAGATTTACCACCTCTAAAAACAGGGAAACTACAGCACCTAGGCACATGTTTAAAATGGAGAGCTTGTTAACATCACAGAGAGTCTGATTTTAGTAACGCTAATTTCAAATACAGTTATGTAACTACAGCAGTTTTTGATCACATACACACATCCTCTATTTCATAAAAACCAAATTGTCTATTCTTAGCAGTCAATATTTTTAAGAAAAAGATCTGAATGCCTTGGCATGAAATTTTCAGTGTTATTTTGAAGAACTTAGAATTAATTTCCTATTTCCCAATTATACAGTACTCAAAATGTGTTCCAGAATATTTAAAAAATCTAAAGACATTTAATTTTAACACTCAAAAATAAAAAGATGTCATATCTAAAACATTTAACATTTATACTGGTCCAGTTGATCATTTAAAATTCCCAATTATCTGTTATACATATCTTTCATGACAAAATAATATAAAGCCTTAATAAAAAGATCTAATTTATACATACAACCTGCTATATTTTTAAAAAGTACATTCAGTAAAAAATGGCAGCTGAAATAGCAGTCTTCAAATATTTATAAAAGGAACCTGAATTTCAAACTAATTCTGCAAAGTATGTTCACATGGTATCTCTACACATTATTTACCACAAGCTTACTATGATCTGCATTTGCATTAGTAGGATTCCTGCCTTTTTCAAAATTATTCATACAATTTGTAAGGAACATATACAAATCTCAATATAAACCAAAGCCCCTTTCACTAGGCATCATTTAAAAACCCCTTTTCTTATGTATGTGGTGTGTAATACAACAAGGAAAGTAAAATATTAAACAGCAATGTAACCTAGAAACTGTTGACTTTACATAAAAAAGTCAAGAACAATGTGCCTGTAAATTCAGAGGATATACTCAGCAACATATAGCTGTTAAACAGCTTACATTTAGATGCCTTATGGTTCCAAATATTAACATTGATTAATAAAATATCCAAGTATTAGAAGACTTTAAAGGTAAACATTAAAAAATAAATTATAACAAGGTGTGATCAGACAAAGTAGAAAAGTGCTATTTTCTTCATTCATCTATAAAACAAATTTATGAGATCGTAAAGAACAATTTAACAACCTAAAAAAGGTTCAAAGGGGAAAGCAAGAGCTGGAGAGAAAATGGATTTGTGAATAATTTTCCTGATTCAGTCTAAGGAGAAAAAAAAAAATCTCAGAAAATATAGCATCATTTTACAATACAAAATAGGGAGCATACAATCCCAGTAGCCTGTAAGTGGACTCATATTTATGTATTTAAACCCTGTATCAATTCACAGATTATGCTGATCCTTCCACATGTAAACAGCCAATAATGATGGCCAGGCCTTTAGAAAAGGAAAACACACAGCACAGCCAAGGTCAGGAAGCTACCAGGCACCACAGAACAACAGATGAAAACAGAATGGTTTCATATGTTCCCGTTGTTTATATACTTAATTTGAAGATGATATTACTTAGCAGGACTAGGAGGGGTGGCTTAAATATTACCAAGAATACATAACACAAAATCAAATAAAACACAATTTTCACGCACAGATACTAAGTATTTCAGGCATTTATCTCTGTCAGTCAGCCTTTATTATTAAAGCCATTCATTCAATTCTTTTTAACTTAGACGTCGAATGAAAACAAACCTCTGGAGTCCTAAGCTTCTTTATTTCTAACTTGGAATTCACCACAGAGAATATACATTTCCTTAGCTGCTGCTGAAAAAACAATTAGGCTTGCAAACTCTAAAAATCTTTTAACTATAAAGAGATTAAGCAATAGGAAGGAATGAAAGGGGGAAGAGGTTATTAATTTACTATGTTGGGTGCAGAATTTCGAAATTAGGAAGCAGTGACACTGTTTGCTAATTAAACAACAACGACAACAAACTACGACCCAATATAAGCAATGGTGGAAATTTATCCAGAGTAGCAGACAAGCAAATTTTGAACACAAGGGCCAGGGCCGCCCTTGGCCACAAGTTTTTTTTTTTTCCCCCCAATTCAATCTCTTAAAGAGACAGTATCCCTGGACCAATGCCCTTATGGAACCTATTTCTAAAATGTGTGGTTACCAAGCATCCTCTAGGGCATTTCTTCAAATCCATCACAGGCCAACAAGTGCTCTATTCATAGAATCAAATTATTCAAATTATTTTCATCTGAATCTACAAATGACCACAGAGCTGGCAATGATGGTGACTGGAGAAGCTACTGTGACTATTAGTATCTAAAGGGGATATACGCCAGTTGGTACAGCAAGAAATTGCTTTGCCTTTTCTGTTGAGTCTTTTTTTTTTTTTTGAACCCTAGAGCGATCACTATGAAGTGACTTCATTCATTTTTCCACCCATTCACGCGCCATGGGCGACAGTATATTGTAACCGATAACACCGGAAGCTGCAGCAAAGCAATTTCTCTGAGGAATTGGGGGGGGGGGGGGGGGGGAAGCAGTTAATACTAACGAAATTTAACCCGAAAAAGTCAAGTGATGAAGTTTCAAAGACTTCCATTTTCCGTTTGGGTAAAGATACCGAAGGCTTTACACAGACCCTACAAACTGAACAGCAATCTCTCAGTATACATAACCACACATTACTCCCATCTATTGACATGACTACTGGTCTACCTAACATGGAAAAAGATGAAGGGGAAAGAGGAAAAGAGTTTGCCTTACTTGGTGTACAAACACATCGACTGGAATATCCAAGGGTCTTCCCTCTCGGTTTATCATGGAGATGAATCCAAATCCCATGCGCACATTGAACCACTTACAGTGGCCAGTTCCGTGCAAAACCTGGGATTCCTCCTCTGCTGGCTCCGACAGCTTGCCTGGCTCTCCTCCACCTTTGCTGCTGGCCCCGCCTGAGAGGGAATAAGACAAAAAAAAAAAAAAAAAGTTAGTGTATATTCCCTTACAATGACCACTGGAAAAAAGGGGGAATCAATGCTGAGGGGGAGGGGGAGGGGGAAGTCAGAGGGAAGGGGAGAAAAGACGGAAAAAAACACACTGAGAAATGGTTTGATTGCTCATCTTCTGCAGAAAATGCTTCAAATGAAAAGGGTTAAAAGGGAAGCGGGGGAGGGGAAGCCACACCGTTCTATCGATCACACCAACTTCCACGTTTCTGTACATACGTGTACTTTTTCATTTAACTCCGCTTTTCAGCCAGATACTACAGTTACAGCATTCGGATACTTTACTTGCATATTGTTGATTTAACACTGATCCCATCTACAAAGACTGATTTGCAGCGAAACTATCCCTCCGGCGGGCACGAGGAGGAAGGAGAACTCCTGAAGATGGTTAGAACAACCAGTTAATGCACATGCGGCAGCCGAGAAGCCAGGGTGATTTGCAATGTGCATTCCCCTCCCCCCCCATAACTTTCAATTAAAGTTGGGGTGGAATGGGGGAGGGGGCAGGTGTATACAAGTTTTCTGGGGCTCACCAACTGAAACTGCGCTTAATCACACTCACACAATTCAAACAATAGCCCCCTAAAAGCTTTTCAAGTTGTGAATCAGGGTGGGCGGTACAAAACATTTTTGGAGATCTGTAACAATAGGTTTGCAAGAAAGCCCCAGTGCGCGATGGGGGGTAGGGAGGTAGTGCCCGGTATTGGGGTAATAGAAGAAGGGGGGGACTGGCAACAAAGTGTGGGAGAGGGGGCAGAGGGGAGAGGAAAGGAGAAAGAAAATCTCAGTAAAACAATAGAAAAGAAAATTAACCTTCGGCCATGTTGCCCCACGGGCCCTCAGCTCCAAACTCGTGAGATGAAAACTTTCCCTTTGGAACGGAGTGATCTTCTGCATCAAGCTAACATCTTGATTTTCTGCGATCACAAATTTAGCTCGCATGGTCTAATGTGCTTTCCTTCTTTTGATTTTTTCCTCCTCTTCTCTCTCCAGTTTCTGGCCCCCTGAGCACACGTGACTTTGTCAATTACATGCTTTCTTGCTACTAATTTCACCTCGGATCCTTAAGGGGCTGGCAAGAGGAAGAGATAACCAATCGCCATTTCATCTGTGCTGACATCAAAAATAATTTATGAATGAACACGAAAAAAAAAAACGCTAACGTGTTATCTGGGGGAAAAAAAAAGAAACCATTTGGGACGCTTCTTTACAATAAATCAGAGTGCCGATTTCGTGCTTCTACATAAACACAATAAAGGGTCCTCGGGGGCCGCTGCCGGCGCGGGGTGCACGCGCGCCCCGCTCCCCGCCCCGCGCCCCGGCTCGTGGGGGAGGGCGCCGGCTCCCCTCGGCCACGCGTCGTGCGGTTCTTGCCCCCGCAACACAGCGGCTCCGCTGGCGTAAACCTGCCTGGCACTCTCATTTTCCATTTCCTTCCATTCTTGAAGGAATACGCAGGATTTGGAAAAGATCACAAGAAACCTAATTCCATCCAAGTGAAACTTGGCACACACACATACCTCACCCCCGTGGGAGAGAGTACAGGATTACTTGAATGCACTGGGGTGGGTTTTGTTTGTTTGTTTGTTTTTAATTTAAAAGAAAAATGCTGCGGGGGGTGGGTAATGGTGGAGAAAGCCTGCTCTCACCTTCACATAGTAAAACTGGGTTCAGGTTTATCCTTTCGGGACTTTGGGGGGTGCTGGGAAGAGGATTGTGCTTCACAGGTTTACCCGCCATCTCTTTCCGGGGGAGGAGATGTGATTAATGACTTCCTAAATAACAACCCGGTTTTCCAGCCTTCCCTAGAGTGAACCTCAATCAGTGGCGATTGTTCCCCAAGAGTCGGGGGCGGGGGGAAGGGCGGCAGGCCGGGAGGTGAGGAGGTGCGCCCGGGCGCCGGCGGCGAGCCACCCAGGGGGCCAGAGGCGAAGGGAACGTTCGGGTACCAGGCGCTGAACCCTCACGCCTTCAAAGTCCACCAGCCGCCGGTGGGAGAATCGGATGGACGACAGCGTAATAACGGATTAGGCTCCGACCACCATCCCTTCCCCGACGGCCCCCACCCGGGTTTCAGATGTTTACCCTTTGAAATGTGTTTAGCAAAGTGCTGATCGCTAACTGGATACTGACAATGTCACCACCCTTATCAAATACTACAGCCAGTGGTATACTGGCAACTGAAAACGCTTTATTTCTTTTTAAAGTATGAAATAGCCCCGTTTTGAAACAAACAAATAAAAAAGGTACCAGTCGTCTTTCCCCACCCCACCCCCCATTTTCTTAAACAAGCAGTTTACGGAAAAACTAACTGTACAAATACCACTTCCCCTAGGCAAGGCTGCCGGGTGGACCCTCCCCCACAGAGCCGCAACCCCCTCCCCATCCCTGCGAACCAGCTTGCCCTCCAACCCTGCATCACACAAACTCAAAAGTAGCGATTCCAACGGAAAAGGCAGTGAAACCACCCCACACACACACCTATTTGCACCTCCTCCTCATAGGCAACGACTAAAACGGAGTTTCAACTAATTGGCTCAGATCTGAAAGAAACGGATGCTTATTGAGAGGTTATTTTCAGCTGTTTGTGATAAAAAGGGACCTATCAAAACTGATCAATGGGGAAAGGTTTGTTTTTTTCTTAACATGTTTCTTTTGTTGTTTCCCGGGGAAAAGGGTAAGTTTTTTCATCCACCTAATTTTTCGAAGAATACCTTTGGGACCAAAGAGGTGGAGAGGAAAGAAAAATTAAAATTTCAGATGATTGTGGAAATGCAACAGAGGTTCTGAAAAAATTCTGCTAAAAAGCTTCATAGGCGTGACTTTATTTAAAAAGTGATTCTTACTAATATACTGATGTCATCAACTTCTAAGGAAGTAACTCTAAAAGAGCATTACAGCTTAAACATTGCATGTAATACGAAAAAGGCAATCAAATTCAAAAGAAATTGTTTTCATAAAGAATTATCTTTAAAATGAATAACTGGTATCAATCAGAAAAGCAATAGAAAAATTCATGTAAATTGAGGCAAAGCACTATTATTTACATAATTCTAAACCTAAGCCAGAAAGGCGTGGCTTTGTTAAACACTTAGGGCAGGCACCATTTTATCTTTAATGTAAGACAGTTTACTCACTGTACAATCAGAAACAGGGTGGCTGCTGAATCATCACTAACTTTGAGAAATTTAAGCCCATCAACAAGCAAAGGAAGAGTGTGAAAAATTCTAACTGAACCAGGGTGGAGATCCAGTCTTGCCTGATTGGAGGCCTCCAGTATTAGTGGAATTAAGGTAGGGTTCACTGAACTGGTCACTAGGGTCAGAGGTTATCGAGTCATTCATTTCCTGAGAGGGACATCAGCCTTTCAAGTTGTGTAGAAGGCTTTTTCCAACTGGGAACCCTGAGAAATCCTCTAAAATTCATTCACAAAGAATTTAAGGCAAATGCATTTACATACCTGGGGGGGGGAGGGTAAGAGAGGGGGAGTGAGACAGGAGTGGAGGGGTAAGGGGAGTGCAGGGAGACAAGGAAACTTCCCTTCCCAGTTCATGGATGCCGCACTTGTTCTAAACACATTCATGTGTCTGCCTTGTCCCCAAATCGTTTGAGCCTAAGATCCTTTTATAAACTGACCATAAGCTCTTAAAGCTCACACAGTGCTTCCTCCACATAACATGGTCCTAGGAGTCTCCTACAATGCTTTCCAATTTGTCACCTTCCTGAAGTCTTCTGGTTTTAATTTTTTTCTCATTTCCTACTTGTTTTTAGTGCCAGAAAGATCTGTGTTTGACTGAAAACGCATGTTTTGTACCTGCGAAAGCCAAATGTTTTACAGGCTGATTTATCATGATTCTTTCAAAAGTCTTTAAAATGAGTTCAAGTAGCTACAAAGCCGCTTGAGCGCGCTGGGGGCGGGCGGACGGCGCCGAGATCAAGGAAACAGCCTATCCTGTGCGGATGGTTATCACAATCTTGGGTTTCTCCCACTTAGAAAACAGGTACCCACTTTCTCAGCCTCCCCCCACACCCGCAACGCTGCAATGCCGGGAGCCCACCACCGCTGTTTTGAGCTACAAGCTATGAGTAAATTCTATTAAAGCAGAAACAATGCTTCAGTTCTTCTAAAACCTGGGAGGAGGGGCCATGGACCGACGGAGCTGCAACGCCTGCGAACTCACGCAGTGCGCGCCCCAGGGCAGACGGGATCCCCGACAGGCAAGGCTGCCTTCCCCGCAACTCCGACCCTGCAACTTCATCTCACCTCTCCACAGTCACCTTCCCCTTCATTCTTCGCATCACCACCTTCTCAGTGGAGGTCGAACCAACCCTTCCTAAGGAGACCGGTAATTTCAAACTAATTAAGGGCACTTTTACATCTGTCATCTTGTCCCCAAGAACAAACAAAAGAGATCCCTGTCTTCACTAGCCTGGCCAAAAAAAGAAAAGAAAAAAAGACTAGGCACTAAATTCCGTGTGTATTATTACCAGATACGTTCGCAACCACCTCCTCAGTGTAAGGTAAGTGCGGTCACGGGAAGAGGAGAATCAGGAGTACTCAAGGAAATGACCACCTCTGCCCCCAGCAAGCCCTGCCCAAAATGGAGCCATCTGCAAACGGACCCCCGCGCCTTCCTATCGGCAGGGCACGGAAACACTGAGAGCCTGAGGGTCGGGGGGCCGTGGGGCTGGGTGGGGGTGCCCGCGCGATCCGGGCGATTTTCGGGAAAACCAACCTCCCTCCGCCCCCGCAGCGCTATCTTTCCCGCGCAGAGGTCTCCGGCGCGCACGTCGGGCAAAGCGGCGGGCAATGGCTCCACCGCACGCAGCCGATTCCGGCTCGCTGCCTTCCAACCTTCTCACTACGTGGGGCCCCACGAAAGAAGCCCCCAACCAAGCGTAGGTCTTGGGGTAGGACACCTCAGAATATAGGGACGCTTTGTTCTTTGCTGCTAAAACACAAAATTCCGTTCTCACCTAATTTCATCTAGGGACAACAATGCTCTGACTTAATTATAAATTACAAGCAGCTGTAAAGTTTCTTAATCTTTTCCCTAAAAACACCTTCTTGACACATTTCCCTAGAGATAATTCTGAGTAAGACCGAGGAAATATAGGAATTACTTAAGCTAAATTTTAAGTTTCCCTGGAAAACTGCCTACATATTTTTAAAAATTGTGAAATTAGAAAATGTCTTAGGTAGTTATATTTTAGCAAATATTGAGACCAACAAAAGTAATTCAGAATATGGACCCCACTTATATAAATTATCTTAAACAAAGAAAACCTGAAATATCAAAATGAATGCTATCGATATGCCTCTCTCCCGATGAAAAGGAAAAGCTGAAAATTTATGATTATATCAAATATTCTCCAAACTCTGTTCAACAAATACTTCATTAAATTGTTTTAATAAGAAAATTATCTTAGAAGAATCATTTAGTAATAAGCTTTACTTTGCCCAGAATAGAACAAAAGAAAGCCTCCTGTTTTATTTGACCTTTTAGAAACATTATGTTCCATAATTTAAAGATCTTTTTGCAGTAAGTATTGTGTTTGTGGAAAAAGTACTAGGTAATGTAAACATACAACTTTTTCTGCATCCTCCAAAGTGAGAAATAAAAACTTATTCTTTAAAGTGTGATAGCTTCAAAAGAAATCATCAACTGAGATAAGAGTGGGGACTGTCAGATATTTGTTTCAATATTTACACTTTGGGGTTTAGAGGACATGATAGGTATACCAGAACTGGGAAGGAAAAGAAGAGTGGGAGACTAAAGGATGACACACATGAGAGCTTCAGCTAGCAAAGAAGCCTCCATG